TTTCCACAGTTATGTATTAAACTTAGTAATGGAAATGTTTTTGCATATGCTAAAACTTTAATTTTTATTTCAACTCGCATATTAGTTTGTTTTTCACCAGCTCTTCTGATTTGACTGGCGTTGAATTTTCTGCAATTTACCAACACCTACAGCTCTTTGCAAATATTATCGTACCTCTTGAAGCTTTTCGCATTTTGTCATAACAACTGCAAACTATTTTTCACAAATCAAAACTGAAAAGAATGCCTTGCCTCTGTATGTAGCTGTCTTTACTCCTCTACCCTTTATTTAAATCCAGCGCAAGACAAAGAGGAATAGTTGAAAGAAATCTTATTTGCAGTTTGCTCCAGCCCATGTAAGGGGACATGACAAAACATGTAAGAAGGTGTTCTGATCAGGTCAGACCAAAGTTTAACGTTTTGACCTGAAAGTTGGTGGTGGAAACTTGTACACATATGTAACCCTTGGCTGTGAGAGTCGAGTCCTCGTTGTTCCCTGGACTCTGCGTTGTGTACTCTTTAAGGTTTTCGTCGGAAGGAAACAAGACTCTGACACACTGCGGTTTGGGATCGTGGTTGTGACCGTTTATTCGGACCACCTGACAGCGATGCGGCTTCGACCTTTAGAATGCAGAGCAGAAACTGCTTGTCAACTTTCATTCACGCAGTTATTTTTTTTTTGATTTACAGATGCAGAATATATATATAAAAAAGAAGAAAAGAAGACAAAATGATACAAAACTAACAATGATACAAAACTAACTAGCTGAACATTAAAAGTAACATTTTGTTACATTGAGGAGCTGGCGGTCAGTATTGCCTACCTTTAGAATGCAGAGCATAAACTGGCCGTTGTATTACCAGCGCACACTAACGAATGCCAAGTACGGTGTCCTTCAGAGGACATTCTCCACAAAGCTCCACAACACAAAGAGCAAATCCAACACTGACATGCGCCGACACATTCAAGCACTTCCCTACACATACATTATATGTCAAAGTTTGTGATTGTAACACAAGAAAATGTTAACTTGTTTGAAGGGTATAAATTATTTTAGGGGTTACTATATGCTGCCATCTGTAAGTATTAACTCCTGGTGTCAGTTTTAATGGGCACAGAAAACATTAGAAAGACTTTTAGTGTCCTAATGTGTTAGTTGCTAATCAATGCTAATTGATACCCACAACACATTATTTAAAATTATTTAGAAAATTGCATATTTTTACATGAATACATTTTATTATGCCACCAAAATGGTGTCACATAACAGTGCGCTTTAGGTACAGAAAGTAAATCCTGTATCTGACAAAACCACAGATCAATTTTTCTGCATTTTTTGACCTTTGTTAATATAACTTTACAAGTCCTAGTTCCTTGCCTGCAAAGGGCATAGAGGCAGACTGGAACCATTGGTATTTAAGTGACTTCAGATCAGCAGGTGGTTATGTGGTATCATTAATAGGAGCTGGCAAATGTATGCATCCTGCCACATGATTATTCTTCCCGTCTGGTACAGCTCTTAGTGATGACCTTTTATTTAGTTACTGGGAGTGGTTGTACTTGTTGTTAAACATCGACGACATGGAGAGCTACTCCAAGAGAGCACAGAGAGAATGTAAAACGGATTTCTCATTCATCACCACAAAATCCCAAAATATCTAAAACCTGCTGTTGTTGGAATTTACATAAACTTAAAGCTAATTTAAATGGTAAATAAAAGCTCCTTGTGTTTCTTCGCAGCGTGAAAGACGACATATTTCATGTTGGTTGTTAACCAAATGGTGGGTTCTGCTTCATGGCACCAGATTGAAATCAGAAATCAGTCTCCGAGTGTCATGGCTTCCCCTTCACTGACGGGAAATGCAGGCTCGCAGATGGTGAAATGAAGTCTTCATTTATCATGCAGTCATAAATCCGAAATTGCAGGCAGTTGCTTTGGGCGCTGGGAGCCCATGCCTGGTGCCAACTGCCAGCCAGAGATGCCGGCATCCTGGTGCCGTTAGGGAGATAGCGAACCTCTCCTGCTGTGTGCGTTGCGGCGGGATTCTTTAAGGTCAGGCCCGAAAAGATTTATCTAGTTCTTATGGCAAAGCTTGATCAAATCTGCAACAATAACATTAGGGACAGCGACTGATCGTCCAGCCACAACGTCCGCATTGTAACTCATGTACTTCAATATGTAGTTATTAAAATTCACATCAGAAAGTTATCCATATTATTACTATTAATTAATGAATATTCTCATGTATTCCTGTTTTTTTTTTGTGGACGTCTATTGTAAAACGAATAAGTAAACAAGGTTTATTTATTCAGCTGCTATTAATTCACCTTCTTTGTCAGCGTGTTTGAATCTTTCAGCAGTTTCGCTGTGCTAAATGTGAAGTGGCAACACCCTAAAGGGCATGCCTTGCCAGCAGGGTTTTTAGGAAAAAATCAGAGGCAAGTACATGCACATTTTAGATCAGATGGTGTACTCCAAAGCAACCTTTTACAAAACGCCATCTGAAAGCAACATGAATTTTTTTTCCCCCTCCCTGATCAGACAATATACATGCCTCGCACAAACACCAGCGCCCAGCGAACACATGCTGAGAGATAACATAAAAGAACATGAAAGACATCAAGGCGCACAATTGATTGTCCCTGTTCGCTCCAACCCAGGCCTCTCTCCCCCAGCAGGCAGGCACACAGGCAAGCTGGTTGGTAGGCATTCCCTGTGCTGCTGTGGCCAGGATTGATAGGCACGTGTATGTGTGTGCGTGTGTGTGCGCTCTGGCACCCTCCGTGCCTTTGCCTCAGGCCATCACACCTCCACCCAATGGAAAGGGCAGCTCCTAGCGACGCTGGGTCCGCCCACAGCCCTGCAGCTAAACATGACATTACCTTGGGCACTGCCCCTCCCAACCACCCACTTAAACATCACAAACTGCAAAAATCAAAAAAGAGCAGGGCTATGTGACTGCACACACACACACACACACACACACACACACACACACACACACACACACACACACACACACACAATCTCTGTGTTCTGTTAATGGCTGACGACGGTCTTCCATTTTGTTCTGATCAGGCAAGCATTCTGCTCCCACGATACAAGAGGATAAGCAGAAACATTAGTCGCATGTCTTTGTTTCTATTTATCATTTGATTCTTGATTCACTTTAATATTCTTCCTCTCGCTAGTTGTGTTTACAAAACTTAGTTGCCTCAACTGGTCAGGAAGTACCAAAATGTAATTAAAATAAGTCAACATTTGTAATTTTTGTGTTAAATGTTTTAGTCAAAATACTAAAACACACATTAGCCGCTTTTCCATGGTTGTGGCTTTAACCAGTTCTTCCACAGTCAGCTGTGGCCAGATCTGTCTCTATTTGCAGATCATGTGCAGCTCCTCCCTGTTTATCGTAACCACTTGAGGGGTGGTATAAGCCGGGAAAAACCATGCATTGTGCGGAAGAGATTTAATTGACAGCAGACTGCACTCGTTGACTGAGTTAGACTTTAATCTTAACTACTTGATACTTTTGGCTGTTTGTCTTTAAGGTCTTTTCACACCTGTTAGTCTGGTAGACTCGGTTCGACTAGGGAGCAGAATTGCAACATTTGTTAAGTTTTCAGCTGCTGTGATTTGCTTTTACACTGCATTGCGTTAAACAAACCAAACTCTTTGAAAAATCATTTTCCCTTCCTCACCTGTGGTGGCTCTGCACCAAGAGTCACCGAAGCAAACGGCATGGAAACTTCAAAAGAAGAAGAAGAAGACGGGAGCTAAATTTTATCTTTGCAAAATGTAAACAAAAATGCAGTAGCATCAGATATCAGTGGTTGTTGGATTTCTCTTTTGACTTTCTTCCTCTAGCATTAATTAGATTTTCATATTTGTTTAGATGGTACTTACCCAGAATGCCCTGCCCTATAGTTCACTTTCTGCTTTTGGAGCAATCTCTGGTCTGCTTGCATCCACATATGCATTTGAGCCGCTTCAAAGTTCACTTCTACCAAACTGAGACAGTTTTTGGGAAGACTAGATTTTGCTTTTTTGGCCCACATCAGAGTTCAGTTATGGATTCACATCCGCTCCAATGAACCAGGCTTTCTGGGGAACCTTGTCATATGCCACTTTTATTAGCTGTGCAGTATTTTTTTCTTATGTTCTTATGTTGTGTGATTCTGTATGGTTCCATTTACCTTTAGTTTGCTCTAAACATTGTGCCACAGTCGTCCCACAAAATATGTTAACGCAATATTTGACAGACTTGTATAAAAAGCTAAGAAGTAACTCTTATGACGCCAAACTTTGTACTTAGAGGTGTATTAGGAATGCACTTCCTCTTTAGACACTTTTACCAGCTGTTGAGGAAAGGTGACAATTACCTGTAATTCCATCTACTGGTTAAATAGGAACTGCAGCACCTTAACTGTGCCTGTAGTTAAATGTATTAAAGCTAAACGGTTGCAGCGCTGTTGCACCTCAGCGGTACATCCGTGGCTTTGAAAGACCCATTGGTTTAGGTGAATGGAGACTGGCAGTTTTGGTTAACAATTTTCATACGATGGATTGAATTTTGCTTTAGAATATTCTTTTAAAACCTAACCCCGCTGTCAACTTCTCCACAGCCTCCACAGAGGAGTTGGGTTTATGCTGAGAGTAAATTACACACAGGAGGACACTATTTACTGACTAGGTCAGTTGCACCAGATTTTATGTACGGTAGACAGACTGGATGCACTTAAGACATTTCTGATTTTTATTTGTAAATGTTTTTCAAAACCAGGTATTCTTTTTCTTCCAATTCACAATCATGTTTCACTGTGTTGTAAAAATTTCAACTAAATGCATAAAAACTTTGTTGTAAAATACTAAAATATGAAAAAGGTCAAGTAGTGTGACTACTTCTGGGCTGGGGCTGCATTTATAAATGAATAGAGAACCTTGTGAGTAATGCAGGACAAAACATGACTTTATAAAATGTGTGTTCTGTTTTCACTAGATGCAGCAACAAGAGCTGGCCCAGATGAGACAACGAGATGCAAATCTGACAGCACTAGCTGCTATTGGACCTAGAAAAAAACGCAAACTGGACTCACCAGGGGCAACACCATCAGGGACTGAGGTAAGAACTGGAACAAATTAAGGGTTTTATGGTCTTTCTAGGTGCTGCTACTAAGTGGTTTCACACGGATCTTTGCCACAAGTGTCTCAATCTAAAGCAGCTGACTTTTTCCCTTTAATTCATAGTGTTGTCCTGCAGATAAAACTTTGAATCCACAAAATGATCTAATTGGTAAAGCTGGTAATAATGTTATTTTATGTTGTCACATTGTTCTGTAGACAATGAATCAATAATGAAGTAATGTGATATGGTGTTGTTACTGATTAGACCATTTTTGGCAGCCAGCAGTTGCGACTGCTTACTGCATAAAAACACCTTTTTTTCCCTGCTGTTTACTGATAATAATATAGCAGTTCGCCTGCTACTATTTTCTGTCTGTTTCGTTCCATGATCAATAGCAAATTATGTTTTCTGGTGCAGTATGGTATTGTTCAACAGCACATCTTGTCCCACCGTCATTTAAAGCTGACTTTTGTGTCAGTGATAATTTATGATTTAACTGCGTAATCTCCTTTAATGTTGCTGGTAAAATCTCAGACCAAAGTCAGTAAAGTTTTTAGACTGTAGCATATTGTAGCATATTGAGAATTAATGGGACTTAGACCAGAGGACTTTTATCAGTGTTTACTGCACGTTGCACTTCTGATGCATTCTTTGACCTTTTAGCCATTTCACCTTCTCTGACTCCTGAAAATGATATTGTTTACTGATTTAAGAAAAAAAAAAGAAAAAAAAAAAAAAGTTGCGCATATTGTTTCAGGTTCAAACAGGAATCACTGCTAATCATTATGGTGCGGCTGGTATTGGTTTCACCTTGTAAGTCTTGTTTGTGTGTGTGTTACCATGGCAAAATGTGGTCTCGGTCACTCGACGCCAGCCATTACAAGAACCACATCAAAAGAGAAGGTATGAGTGTCATTAAAGAGAACAGAGCACCAAAACACCTTTGACTTTGATAAATTCTCCATTCCAATAAAATAAAGGTTAAACTATTTAGCTACAGTTTTCAAAATTATGAGTTAAAGTAACCAAGCAGTCAGACAACATAATGAGTGCATCATTTTGTAAGTGTGTTTTTCGGAAAAAGAACCAAGAGACAAGTTTGGATAAACAAAAAATGGGTGCACAAAATGTCAAACAATCAAACTTTTTGCATGGTGCTGAGTCTCAAGCTTTAGCAGATATTTACTTTTCAACACAACAAAGACCTGAATCATAAGCCCCATTCACAAAGCACTTCCAGATGGGATTACGGCTTCTTTTTGTTATCACAGTGTGTTTTGTGAAAGAACCGATGTAGTGAAGAGGGTAAAAATCAGCTGATTACAGTCTATACCCACAGCCCCTCATCAGCTGCCTTGTACAGAGTCAAGGTGGCTTCACATTTTGAGGTAGTGATGCAGTGACAATGTGTGGTTTGTGCAGCCAACCGGCCGCCAGATATAAATTCAGCTCTTAGGAGGAGTAATAATGATGTTGATGATGCACAGTGTTTTTAAAATCTGAAGTCCGTTTATGATAGCACCAGTCTCTGCTTGTAAAGAATGAATGGTAAAAGGGAGCTGAAGAGTAAGTTGGTTTGTTGCAGGTTTATGGTAGAAATATTTTGTAGTAGAGTGATTCCACTTCCTACTCAACATTTAATCCCACTTATTAATGACAGGCATTTAAAGGTTAAATTATTTGTTTGTTTGCTGTATCAGCGGATGGATAGCTGAAATAATATTAACTGGCATCTGTACTGAGAAGCAACTTTTTAATCAAGCTCTTAGTTCTTTTTTCAATTATGTAAAAAAAAAAAAGATAACTTATTTGACTGTTTCTTCTACACTTTCAGAAGTTACTTTTCCATTCAAACCAGCCACTCAAAGCGTGTCAGACTTCAGCCACATTCACCTAATCACACTAACAAACGTGCACAAATTCATATATTGACATTCGCAAAGGTTTGACTGCACCACAAACTTCATAATTTAGTTGAGCAAACGTGGATGTGATGTCCGAATAACACACTTTGGGTATATTCACAATTCTTGAATGGTTTACACTACAAACCAAGCAAGACGTTTCCTTGGAAAATTGACTGCAGGCTTAGAAGGAAATGTGAAAGATTTGTGATCATTTTTCCAAAGACTAAATGATTTTATTGCTGCATAGGGTGCTGAAATGATTGAATCTTTATTTATCTATAATTAACTGGGAAGAGGAGCCAAAGCACCAAAAGGTATGATAATTTTATGGGTAATTATCTGTTTTAACCTCAAAATATCTGTTCAAAGTGTTAGCACAATAGCATATTGTGTGTTCAAAGTTTTTATATTTACTATATCAACTTGTAGGTAATACATTCACAAAATTTTTTTTAGAAAATGTGACTTTCTGATAATAAAAAGACCCTAACCTTCCCACAATTTACTATATAGTCAAATACTTAAGTTGGTCAATGTTAAATAAAACGTCAAACACTCCAACAGTAACAATTAGGTATTTACTAATCATTTTCAGTCTGTAAATGCTCAGTTGTCATTGTACTCCTTTATGCTCTTTATTTTAGGTTTAGTAAAAAAATATTAGGTTTGAGGGCATATAAGATGATGCACAAATACAAAAAAACCCATCTTGCATTCCCTGTATTTTTTAATTCAAATGTACCAACACGGTCAAGGAGACTTTATCTTCACTCTTATTCCAAGAACTTTAACGCATTATAACATGTTTACACATTTTAACGAAGCCATGATAATCCTTATAACCAAATTGAATTTACTCAAAGTAATTTTTTCCCCCCACATCGTTACGTCTTGTTTTAAGCTGTTTATCATCAGACACTTATGGCCCGAATTTAAATGCGAACAATACAAATTCCTAGTAACAATAAAGTGAAATAACTTACAGGAAGTACTTTTTAGAAGCAACACATTGACATACTTTAGTGTGACGTGTCAAGTCTGTTTGTAATTAAGCTGTTGTTTAAAAAAAAAAAAAAGTCTTCTGTTTGAAGCACCATAAGCAGTGACTGAAGTATCTTATTTCTCTAACACATGAGTTTAGGTGAAGTTATGCACAGTTGCTGCAGCGAGTCACATTTACCTTTAGGCACCAGGAGAAACATTTAAATTCCACATATTTCTTCGTAAATATGATGAATGTAAAATAAGGCTGAATATTGAATGTCAATTGGTCATTTTAATAACCTGCTTATCGAGTTGCATCTTCGCATCCTTCGCTTAACAGCAGCATGCTGCAGAGGAGCATAGTAATGCACCCGGTAAAAAAGCATAAATAACAAAATAAAAACATTACTTCTGGTCCTTGAGTGCAGTGCCAACCTCTTTCAGAATGTTTTACCCTGATGGGTATTAGCCGGCGACCTTCTGCTGCATTTAAAGAAAGGAGGGGGGACAAAGCTTTCCCAAACCTCTCGCCTAAACGCAGTTACAGAACATATGCATTAACATACATTAAGGAGTTGTTTATTTATTTCTTTGTTTTAATGTCCCATGCACGTTTAATTAGAAGGCATAATGAAGTGAAATCAGAGTGCCCCTCCTCTGGAGTTATTGCAGTGGGGGCGGAGGAGGAATCTTAACTTATTTTCACTTCGTTTTCACCTCCTCACATTTCTTCATTTCACATGGGCTGGAAGCCCCCGCGGCGTTCTCTTTCCCTTCTCCAGAGCAAAGTGAATGTGACTTTTCTAAGGGGGTCACAGGATGCCTGGAGGCCTGTGGGTGTTACTGGACTGTTGCCTGCTCTCAGCTTCACTGAGGGGCTTGTCATAGATTTCATCTCCACAGAAATGAGCCGGGGGCCCTGGCCAGGAGCACAAGCAGCCAACGTTATGAAGGGCCCACGCTGATTATTTCCCTCTGACATCGCATCCTGAGCTTTCCGCATTAATCCCAGACAAAGGCAGCCCTTCAGTGCTGTGCCAGAGCTCAAATTAGGAGTCAGATAATGGTCTTGTTGAGATCCTGTTCTGTTCACTAAGAGGCAGAGCTCCTGTTGAAATCCTCCTACCATTTATTTTTTTTTATATTCACACCACTTCTTTTTGGGGGTTTTTTATGACTTCGAGGAAATTCAGGTGACAACATTTTACTCCATAAGTTTTTCCCAACCATCCTACCCCCACTCTTTCCCCCTGTGTTTAATTTGAGGGTGGCTCTGCAGGACTCGGGCCTGTGCCTGGATGTGGATGGCCATGGGCTGTGAAACTGATAGCCTGTCAAGACTGGAAAGTCCGTCTCCAGCCTGATCCAGTCTGCAGGAGGTAACAAAGGGGGTCTTACAGGACTCCGCAGGGCAGATTAGTTTCAAAGAGCCAATGGCCGAGGCAGCTGGAGGACCTGCTGTGGTCCCAGCGGTGGGTCACTGCACAGGTAGGGGGTCACATAGGTGTACATGGTGAAACTCAGCTTAATCCCGTTTACTTACATATTACCAGGTCACAACAAGTGATATTTTAGAGCAAAAAGGAACCATTTTTCCAATAAAGAATATCTAATCAAATCAAGTAAATGCAATCCATAGATTCAAATTCATTTCCATAAAACCCGCTTCCATCTCCATTGTAACATAATATGGTGAACTTGGTAGTTGACTTTGCTACACTTGTTCTAATCCTTCATGTCTCACCCACCCAACTCTAACCTTTAGTAATTAAGCGTATTCTAATTAAACTTCTGGATTTTTATTTCGGGAATTCACTGTTAAAATTTTCATTTATATTCACTCTATTTTCTGTATTTTCTCAAACATTACTCCGTCATTAAAGCAAGCATGGCATGTTAAGAGTTTTTAAAAAGCCTCCTTCCTAATTGCCAGCTTTCTAATGATTCATCAGCATCTGGAACCCTACCGTAACCCTCCATCCACAGTGCCTGTGAGTACAACCTCTTGTAGTCGGTGTTCTGAAAACCACTTTATTAGGTAAACCCGTTCAACTGCTAGTTCACACAATGGTGTCAGTTTAGTCATCTACATGTGGTGAAGACAAT